GATGGAAAGACGGACGGGAATACCAAAAACTACAGTTCACAAAGCTTTAAAAGACCATCGATTTCATCCCTACCACATTCAACGTGTTCAGGCTCTACAGGAAAGAGATTACCTGTCGAGGGTTAGATTTTGCCGTGAAATGTTGCGAATGCATGAATCAGACCCCAACTTTTTTAATAAAATAATTTGGAGCGATGAATCATCATGCAAACGTGATGGTTATTTTAATTTACATAACCTTCACAGTTGGCAGATAGACAATCCTCACGAAATGAGAGAAGATCGTTCGCAGTACCGGTACAAAATAAATTTATGGTGCGGTATTTTTAATTGTCAGATATTGGGACCTGTGGAACTGCCGCCAACGCTCAACTCTCACAGTTATTCAGAGTTCCTTCAGGAACTTCGGCTTCCAACGATGGATTGGACGATACGGACCAATCACGTGGCCCGCTCGATCGCCAGACGTGCATCCATTCGATTTTTTCTACTGGGGCTGTCTTAGGGACAAAATTTATTCAAAAACAATTAAAAACGAAGAGTATTTGCGCGAACAAATAAATGGAGCTGCTGCTGAGATAGCTGAGATTAAGTTTAAGATGTCTAAAAGTGTATTTTCTTAAAAGGTGCCGAGCTTGTATTAGAGTAGAAGGTCGCCAATTTGAGCATATTTTATCAATAAATGAATACATTTTTCTTCAAACAACTCATGTATATTTTATTTCACGTGAACCCATCCTTCACCAAAAATATTGATAGATATAGCCCTTGTTATAGACTCTTGTCCGAATTCCGGTAAGTAACAAAAAATAATGTCAGGAGCAGGTAATAATATACCTTTGGACTATTTAGCATGTCATTGGTCGGTAACAAGAGCAACTTAAATTTAAATCTATTAAACACATTCTAGCGTGTCTTAGTCCTTTACCCACAAAAGCGGCTATAACTTTTTTTTTCTATTCGAAACAGTAAGAGTGGCACCTTTCTGAAATATTTATTAAATTGGCAAATTTTTTATGTAATGTAAAGTTATAGCTCAGTACATTTTTTTCACCAGAGATAGTGAAAGTTGGGGAAGAAAATATCAAAAAGTAAAAATCCCCAAAAANTGTAAGAGTGGCACCTTTCTGAAACCTTTATTAAATTGGCAATTTTTTTATGTAATTTAAAGTTATAGCTCAGTACATTTTTTTTCACCAGAGATAGTGAAAGTTGGGGAAGAAAATATCAAAAAGTAAAAATCCCCAAAAAAAGTCCTTTTTTATGATGGTTCCTTAATATATTTTAACCACATTGCATTTGAGTATGAAGAAGCAACTGTCTGGAAGTATTTTACATAAAAGAAAATACGTGAAAAAGCACGATTTTTTTTTATTAAAAAAATGTAAATACTTCAAAAGCGGTGACACTTTTACCTGAAAATTTTTTGTTTATCAGGGAATGCATATAAAAATTTGAGAAATAAAGTAGCTAAAGAAATACGTTACAATAAAAGAGTCTATCTGGAAAATAAGCTTGATACAAAATTACCCTCCAGAACATTGTGGAAAAATTTGAAATCTATGGGAGTCTGTAATGAAGATTCAAAAGCTTGCGGACTTGGTGCAGATGAGATGAACCATTATTTCATTGGCGCCAATAATAAACTTACGAATTCTCACTCGTTCGATTTTAATCAAAATTTGGGTTGCAAACCCTCATGTGAATTTTCTTTGAATACGGGCAGTGAGGACGATGTTGTAAAGAATATTTTTGCTATCAAGTCAAATGCTACTGGTATAGATGGTATCAGTCTACGTTTCCTTAAGCTGATTATCCCTTACATTCTCCCGACACTTACACATATCTTTAATTTTGCCTTAACATCATCCTACTTTCCAAACCTTTGGAAGATTGCAAATCTTATTCCTGTTCCCAAAGGCGAGTCTTGTGACTCTCCCGAAAACTATAGGCCTATTAGAATTTTACCTGTTTTAGCCAAAGTTTTTGAAAAATTTATTTCGTCCCAGANCCTCTGTCTTTTCAAGTTTTCTGTCTGTCTTTTATCCCTTAGTGTTAGTTATAATATAGCAAAAATGATATGTAGTTCATATACTTATATTATTGTCTTAGCTTAAGTTTAATCTTGTAATTGAAATTTTTGTTATTAGTACNCGCTTAAGTTTATGGAAGCGTATTTATCAAACAGGTACCAACAAGCGCAATGTGGAGAAACAATTTCTTGTCGCATGAAAATTAATTCCGGTGTACCGCAAGGCTCAATCCTGGGTCCTATACTCTTTAGTATATTTATAAATGATATTGTTCACTGCTGTCAAAATGCTTATATTCACCTGTATGCCGATGATACACAGATCTACTACTCGCGACCTACTGGACTTGGGGAAGACCTTGTGTTTCGGTTAAATGAAGATCTAAGGAGAATAGACACCTGGGCCGAAACAAATAGCCTCTGCTTAAATGCTGCCAAAACGCAGGTTATATCTGTATCACCTCATTCTTTTGATCTGAGTTTTCTATCGCCAATTATATTGGGGCAAACTGAGTTAAAGTTTCGACATGTTGTGACTAATCTGGGCTTTAAAATTAATTCTCGTCTGACTTGCACAGATCATATCAACCACTGTATCTCTAGAATATACTTTATTAACCTTAAGAAACCTTTGGCATACATGATATTGCCTACCAAATAATACAAAATTGAAGCTAGTTCAGTCGCTTATCGTTCCCCATATCGCGTATTGTGAAACAGTGTATGGAAATCTTGATTATGAATCGAAGAATATGTGAATTAAAAGGAGCTTTAAATAATGCTGCCAGGTTTATACAGGGTGTCCCAGAAGTAACGTGCCAAACTTTAGGGGAAGGTAGGGGGGTGGGCTTTTGTGGGTAAAGGACTGAGACACGCTAGAATGTATTTAATAGATTTAAATTGAATTTGCTCTTGTTACCGTCAAATGACATGCTAAATAGTACAAAGGTACATTATTACACTAATTCCGGTAAGTAACATAAAATAATGTCAGAAGCAA